CGGTGAGAAATAAACTTATCGCTCTAAATATACCGCGCAGATAGAGAGAGAGAGAGAGAGAGAGAGAGAGAGAGAGAGAGAGAGAGAGAGAGATTTATTCGACGCTATTATCCCGACGGACGAGATAACGGGGGAAAAAAGATCGAATCGCGGGGAATTTATGTCCCGCCGAAAAGTATTGTGCGTGAAAAATACGCGATGGCCAACAGGACTTTTATCGTCGGAGTCGGACGACGAGGTGTAATTGCCGTTTTTCGCATTTACCCAATTTGAATCCGTCTCACTTGAACGTTGGTATCGATAGCAACGGGACGCGAATCTCTTAATTACAAGACGAAAAGCAAAGCGAAAAGGAGAAGGTATAGTTGCTCTCCTACGAATTTACCTAATTTGAATTTATCTCGTTTGAACTTGAGCATCGACTCCCACCCCCGGAACGCGCGTCCCTTAATTACAGGAGAAAGAGCAGATTAACGTGGAAAATAACCTTGTTGCCAAATTGTAACTAGCGATATATCGATTACCGTTAATCTCGTGAAGCCCGACATCACGGTTACACGAGGTCGCTCCTACGCGCGTCCGCGCGCAAAAATTATCAAAAGCGCCCATTAATTCCAGCTATTCCGGCCTCGGCCGTTAATATGACTCATATTCCTGCTATGCGGCGAATTGTAATTTTCCAGGAGGAATAATGTACTGGAAATTCGATAAGGAATTCGAGCTGCTTCCCAGTTTGGCGACTTACGGAGCAACCCTCTCCCCCCCCTGCTCCTTGACTCCGTAACGCTCCGCACGAATGCACGGTGTAATTCCGCGCGCGAGGCCGTTCTACTCGTACTTTGTGCGCGGGGAAGGGGAGAGGAGAGGCGGGCGCTATCTTTCACTCCGGCGGAATTAAATTATCGCTATCCACCGCTGGAAATTATGACGCCGTGGTTCGTTTAACGCGCACCGGCGCGTCGGCCGCTTTTTTCCACGTTCGTTCGTTCGTTCGTTTCTCAACATCGTCCCCGTCCTCCACGTTTCGTCTCGGGCTCGTCTACGCACCGCTCTGCTACTTCAATCGCAGCGCCGGGATCGCTTTGTGCGAAAACTTCTTTGGAATTTCCCCGCCCGTGCGAAAATGATCGTTTCCCAGCGGCAAGTTGAGTCCGAATCTAAAATCCGAATCTAAATTCGAAGAGTCTCGACTGGAATTTACGTTGTGCGTCCCGCCGCGATAAAGTATCCGCAAATGCGAACGCGCCGAGAGTTGCCGAGAGAAAAACAAACAAATAAACGAATGATACAGCTGGGAGCGCCACTTGCTTCACGGATCAGGCAGAATATCAAATTAAAAAAAAGAAAGGAAACGTACACATTTCTCTCATGGTTGAATATGACAGCAACGCTGAGCCCGTCGAGCTCAGCATACAATTCCGCCAAATTAGATTATTTTACACACGGCTTTTTACTTCTGAAGCATTGTATTTTCCGCGCCCGAGCCCGCCTCCTCTCGCGATTTATTTCAATCCGGCGCTTTTTCGCGCTGAGCCTTGTAAAAACGCGCGCGGGCAACATTTTATCGTTCAGTGAAAAGAGTGGTCGCGCGTTGCCGTCACTCTCGCGGGGGAAAACTGGCCCCAAAAAACGTCGCTTTTATCGCCGACGCAGACGCGTGTTTGTCTGCGGCGGGATTCGCCGCTATTATAACGACCTAAAGAGAGCTAAAAGGGGAAGAGAAAGAAAACACACGACGGTCGGCAATGCCCGCTTGACAAAATCGCCGAGCGGACTCTCTCGCCGAGACGTCATTCACGAAATCAAACGATCCGTCAAGAGACGAAATCAAAGCCGTTTTAGCGTACTCCCGCGCGCCGTTGAAAGCAATTTCCGTCGTAAAGCGCGTGCACACCCTTCCGCTCGTGACGCACATCGTTATCTAATTAGACGGCGGAGGGGGGCAGGAGAAGGGAATCGATGGCCGCGGTATCATCGGGCAGCTCTCGGCAGCTGCGCGCAATGCGAGATAAATATGACGACGGAAATCGCCGGCTCGCTTTCAACGCCAAAGAGAGAGAGAGAGAGAGAGAAAGAGGGAGGAGAGAGAGGGGGGGAGCTGGATTAACCCCAAGGGAAAATTCGTGCTCACGCACACATACACGCACACATGGACGCACACCGCCGCTATCGCATCGATTTACGTATTTATTAACGGCCGACGAGAGAGACTTTCCTTCGAGGATTTTCCAATGTTCACAAAGCGGGCATGCGGCCGCGAGGAGCTCTCACGGAGAGTCACCGGCGCGCGGCTTCTCGACGTACTTCCGCGGCATTTCTAAAATTTCCCGCGAATCTCCGCGAGTCTCTCGGCATCGACGCTCTCCCCCCGGTCGACATTCCACACCGCACACACGCCGCTGCATCCGGCGCATCCAGGCCGTCGGTGCGGCATGCACCTGCCTCTCGCGCAGATTCGCCGGATTGAATCGAGAAAGGAGGCTATACGGAGGGGAGGGGGGAGGGGAGATGCGAGTGTAACTGTCGCCGTGGCCGCGTCGCTTTATGTCGGGTAATATGTCGTTTATCTCACAGTCTATATCTGTCGCGAGCATTCGCGCGGCGTGTAAACTCCTCCTTCCTTCCTTCCTTCGTCGTCATCCTCTGTGTGTGTGTGTGTGTGTGTGTGTGTGTGTGTGTGTTCGATACCTGGTGTATTCCTCCGAAGGCACGAGAAAGAAAATACGCTCGGAAGAGACGAAGTCTTTCTGCTCGCATCGGCCGCGCGCGATCCGCCTCGTTTTCACAACTCTCCGAGCGAGACGCGGGAGCGCCGCGAGAGCGAATATCGTACGTCACGTCCAAGTTTTCTATCTAGTCCCTTCACGCGTCATTTACCGCGCAATCTCCCCGTTGGCTCCCAAATTAATGTAAATCCCGACTACTTCTTCCCGCCCGCGGGCGGAAGAAATCTCGGCCGTGTCGAGATAGCCTTGTCGAATTCGTGAGAAATTGGAAGCGCAACCGTACGAAGAAAAGTACTCGAGATCGCGTCGTTAATATCAAATAAATTAGTTCGGACTGTCGGCGACGAATTGACTGAGTCGCGCTAGAAACGAGACTCTATGTCTACCACCGAAGTTTACGTAAACGCAGGCGCGGCCGTCCTGCTGCTGTTTGCTGTTTTAGTCCTGTTTTTGATCCGAGCACGTCTGGCAACCATAGAACCTGAGTGACCGGAGTGAATCTCCAACGGAGATTTCATTTCACACAGAAACTGATATCTTACTCGACGCACGTTGAATAAAATCCAAACGGATCGATGTAGACCTCGGGACTATTAAATTGGCGTTGAATGGAATCTTGAAGAGTCGCGAGGGCAGACTGAACACTTCGACTCGGATCAACTCGAGATGTGAGTGAACGTCATTGCGTAATTATCGCACGAATAACTTTCCTTTCATCGATTATATATTTACCTCGGGCACACGTCACATCCGCGTGGATGTCCCTCGCATGAAACGTCGCTGAGAAATTGGCACTTGAAAATGATAAGAAAATCTCAGCTGAGCACGCGAACAAACGTAACTCCCCGCGGCGTTCTACGCGTCATCGCAATTTATTAGCGCACCGTGAATGCCGCGAGTCCAACGGACTGACATCTTAATGCGAATTGCTGCGGTAATAAATCACACGCAATAAAATTCAGGTCACGATAAATCATTCGTGCATCCCCCTTATATGTGCATATAACGAGATATAAAAGTCGATGCATATGCGGCTTTCGGCGCGATTCTATCGAAAGATGTTCGCTCTCATTAGAAATATTAATTACACCGCAGTCGATCTTGAAGAAGAAAATGATGGATGAACTTTCGAAAACCACCGCTGTCGCTACGAATTTTGGTGAAAGCGCTTTGAATAATCTCAAATGGATACCCTTCGGTGGATTTTCACCGACAAAGGAAGTTTAATGTCAAAATAACTTAAATAACGTTTAACATATCGCTGATAATATTACACTTTTTTCAGACAAACCCATGTGCTGTGATTAAATATTTGTTTATCAACATCCAACGCTGTTTTTCCTGGGTTTGAGATCAGAAATCGAAACAAATATCATTTATCATGTAAACATACAATCACAACGCAGAAATAAATCTCGAAACGCAATGTGATACTAATAACGATAAATAATATAATAATATTATTATTATTATAATACTATTTGAATACTTTTATCATTAAATTTATAGCAATTAAGTATGGCTTTCGAAAGTTTATTCAGCATAATATAAGAGCGTAAGCCTCTTTCTTCAGAGAGGGAAAAAAGAGAGCGAGAGCTCTCTCTCTCTCTCTCTCTCTCTCTCTCTTTCTCTTTCCGAAGTCCGCGACGTGACTCCTAGTCGGACATATCCCCGCGATTAAATGCGCCGCGACGTCACCTCCTCCCCGTGTAAGCCGGGCGGGCGAACGAGGAGAGTCATCTCCTAATATCATGATGTAATCCATTCCGTCGCGTAACAGCGGCCAATTTATCGAGGCGCTATTGCAGCGCAGCTGCGTATGCCGCGCGGCGCCGTTGTCGCATAAAACGCGCGCGTCACGCTGCCGAGCTCGAAAACACGCAACAGCTGGCGGACGCATATGACGTTTCCCGTCTTCGTTTCTTGCTCGTGTTGCGAAGAGATGCGGCGCCGCCGGGGTCTCGCGGAAGGATCTACGCGGGAAGGATCGTCTCGGAACTGCTCGCGCGACCGGCGGCAGGAAAGACGCTGGCCGCTTCGCCGGGAAATTAAGGACCCTGGCCGTCCGATGCGCGCGGATTTAGCGTCGGAGGGAAGTGAAATTCACTGATGGAATAATTGTATTATCTCCCTTCTATTTTCTCACCGGGGTCACGCCGGATCGGGACGCGCAGGGAGATTTATTTTCCAGCCGTGATGCCTCCGAGCCGCGCGCTCTCTCTCTCTCTCTCTCTCTCTCTCTCTCTCTCTCTCTCTCTCTCTCTCTCTCCTGCGATGTGCGCATTATTATCGACGGTTATATCGCACTAAAGGAGCAATAAAGGACACGCGAAACGCGCGATTAGGATCGATTCGGTGCTAACAAAGGCGGATTAAAAACTGACAATCTCCGTAAATCCCATTTTTGCAGAATTTCTCCGGCGGAAGCGCGTGCGATTCCATTTCGCGAACATTTGCGATTGAATCCGCGGCGGCCGGTGGTAAAACCGAGGTGGCGAAAATTCCAGACGAGCAATTTGAGTGGAGATGATTGAACCATGTTGGCCGTGATAATAGAGTACCGGAGACAAATGCACACGCTCCGCGTGCGCACCGCTCTCTTCTTCTGCTTCAAATATCCGGAACCGGCAGCGAAAGGACGTTGCAGCGAGTGGCCGATCGAAAGTGGCGATCTGAAGCGTCGATCGCGGGCTTCCGCGATCGACGATTCACGAATTTTCGCGGCCACTCGCTGCGAAACGGCGGAGGACGAGGCTTGGCTTTTGGCCGCGCGGAAATTATGTCATCCCGTAAATTTCCGCCGGTAGTCGGCGAGAGATCCATTCAACAGGCCGCTGGATACTGGAAAATGCGCGTAACTGGAAAATCACTCGGTCACGTGGCGAGAGAGGAGGAAAGAGACGCTCCCCGTTGTCCGTGACCGGCCGCGCCCGTCGCCCGATGAATTCCGGCAATTCGGCCAAACTGTCATTCGGCAAAATTGCACGGCGTATTCTCGCGGAACCCCGACCGGCCGCGGAGAAATGAAGATTTCCGCTTTATGGATTTTACATCGGCCCCGACTCTCCTCCGCACGGATCGCTCAACGTCGCCGCTTCGCTTCCGCGGCTGTGCACTCTCTGCGAAATCCTCGTTACGTATAATTGATCTCTCCGAGGATAATCGATCATTTTCAAACAGGAGGATCCTCGCCGCTCCTCGAGCGCTCCTGAGCGCGTCCTAAGCCTCACAGATGTAACTAATCGTCGACCGGCCGGCCCGCCGGTAGCCGCCGTCTGCGCTTCAAGTGCTCCTCTTGCTGTCGTTGAAGACAGCGGCGCGATCAATGGCTCGCAGTGGTTATCGCGTCGCGGCGAGATCGGGCCGCCGATTCTTCCGCTGCGGCTTTGTGTCGGCCTCGAGCGCTGCTTTGGCTTGTCGTATTTCTCGAGGAGCCGCAATTACTTCGAGACAGAGAGCCTGTGTGTTGTTGTCGCGCGCACGGAACAGCGCCGCGTTTCGATCGATGAGAGGAGCGGCGAGAGAGCGAGAGAGAGAGAGAGAGAGAGAGAGAGAGAGAGATACTGTCAAAAACACGCTCGTCGAATCGTTGATCCACGTCCGGCGAAATCGGCAGCAATCGGAATCAGTCATGTGGCGATAAATCTTGCCGCGGAAAAACGGCCTCGCGTTCGCGCGGACGCCGCTGTGAAATATGTGATATCCTGGCTGATCGATCCCGCGCGAAGGGAACCTCGCGCGCGTTTTGTCCCCGTACGCCGAAGCGGCCTATTACAGATTCGGCGAATTTCGCAGCTGCCGGCGCCTCCGTTATCACGCGGAATTGTCAGCGCGAATGCTCGAGAGGTGCCGCGCGCCGAATAAAGCCGATCGCACGCGGAATCGGAGGAATCAATGATAATATCCGTCGGTTGGGACGACGCGCGCTCGCCGCCGTTCGAACGTCGAAATACGCGTGGATAAATGGAATCGATAATGAGGCTAATTATTCCGCGCTCATTTCGGCGCAAGAGCACTATCCATAATCGTGCATTCGATATCGGGACATTCCTGCCGGAGTAATACGCGCCCCGCCCGCCGTTTCCAGCCCCGGCCGGCCTCGATAACTTTCGCTAATAATTCGTGGGAGATCCAATTACTTCGGCCGTCGCGACACTTTTGCCGTCGACGGTACTCACTCGCGCGAAACGACCGCGAATTTCGGCGGAAATTCCAGTTTTATTCTCGTCCCACGAAAAAAAGCAAACGGCGGAGGGAGGGACAGCGTTTCTCTTAATCCCGCGCGCTTTGTCTCCATCGCTCCAACGGACTTTCAATTATCTGCTGATTGTGTCGCTCGTATTAAAAACGCCATTGCGCGAGAGCGCCGTTGTTGCGTCGAACGCGCTGCAGCGCCGGCACTCGTGCCGGCGCACGACGCTCGATCGCACAACACACACGACGGTGCCTCATTCACATGAGCGCTCTGCAAAAATCCTGATCGCGCAAGTTGGCCGCGTAATCGATGCCGATTGTGCGCGCCTATGTAACGCGCGCGTGCGCCCATTTTAATTCCGCGAGTGCCGGCGATGACGCTGAATACGGAACGTTCGCGTTCCCCCGGCAGTAACGCGTCGCTAAACTCGCCCAGCGATCGCTGCGTTCGCACCGCCTCAAGTCGCTTCTGTTCTCAAGTTTCACAACGTCGGAGTTCGTGAAAAGTCGCGCCAGGCTGAACGAGAAGACGTCGAGCATCCAGGCGTAATGGTATTAGGCGAGAAAGACAGAGCCGCGTAGACAGTTGGGGAGAGAGTGAGAGAGAGAGAGAGAGAGAGAGAGAGAGAGAGAGAGAGAGGGAGAGGGGCAGAGAGGAGAAGGGAAAAGAGGCGGTAGACGGGTCGGCCGGTGCGTGGGTGCACGCGTGTAATGGTGAAGCGAGTCGCACGCGCACGATGCAGCTGATGACCTTGAACTCCCTGCTGATGTTCGACCTCGTGTTCCTGTTTTTCTTGTTCCTCGTCGGGGTCTCCTGCCTCGTGTACTACCTGCCGGGTACTCGGGCGCATGCCTTCGCACCGCACGAGATCATCACGGCGCGAACGCCGCCGCGCTATGACGCGCCGATCGACAATGTGTAAGGTGGGTATAAAGCGCGCGAGCACGGAGCGAGCTGATTATGCGTCGAGGTGTGTGGCGCGAGCGCGCGCGCTGTTGGATACGCGATATCGCGAGCCGAGCGGGCTGGCGCTCTTTGATTCATGAATAGTCGATAAACCGAGCGCGCGCCCCGCGAAAATAGCTTCCGCAGCCGGCATTATTCAACGACGAGGTGATTCTCACGCGCGCGCGGTTATCTCGATTAAATCGTCTCGGCGGATCGGCAACCGAAAAGGCGGCGGTAAAAATCGCGCGCGCGCGCAATGTTTGTGTATCTGATTGCGATTGCCGGGGAACTCGCCGCGCATTTCTGAGCGCGCGCGCGCGCGCGCGCGGTGCAATTTGAATTCGCGTCTCCCCTCCCCGATTAAATCGCGCGGAATCGCGGCACGGCTTCCTCTCTTCCGTCGCGTCAACTGGTCGTCCTCCAATTAACCGACCTATCCTCTGCTCGTGATACGGGAGGGGGCGGGAGGGGTGTTAACCGTCATCATATATGCATTTCTGCCTGTTTCCGCACGCAGCGTTCCGGCGCGCCGAAAAAGTAGACTCAGCGACTCGGCGGGAACGGCGATAATGAATATCGATAACGCCGCCGGACGGGGGTGTTAAACGTTACGACAAATGCAGCGCGTCCGATTCGCACGTCTGATTAGCCTGAAAATGGGCATTGGACGATCGGCGCGAAGTATCGGTGGGCTTGTCAAAAGCACTCGCAGACCTCCACCGTGCGCGAATTCGGATATCGCGTAATTCAAACCGAACGCTGTTCTGCTCTGGGCATCGCATAAAAGGTGACCGGGTCGCGGCATGAATGCCTGCACGTTTGTCCATTGTGTCCCGAGAACGACCTAATAGGTGGAACGACCACGAGCGGCTGTACAAAATAAGTCGCGAGCCCGCTTGGAGCAGCGCGCGGACGACGTTACAATTTCTCGCAGCAATTCGCGTTGCTTCAACGATTGCACGCAGACGGATCGAGCACCACGAGCGAGGTAATCGCGCGGAGATGTATCGGACATTTCACCCAAAACAAAGTATTCTATTTGTAAAGTGATTTTTTCTCATAGTCTCATAGTCTCATATTCGAAGCGAAGCCTTTTACAGAAAAAGGATTTCTCTTTCGATAAAGCGATTAAAGTGAAGCATTCATCAAAAATTTGTTAGATATTATTGCAACTGTTTTCCTCTTATTTCAAAAGGATTTCCTCTTATATCAATTAATTTTCCTTTTATACGAAGAGGAATATGTTGAGTTGAATATTTGAAACGCTTTTTAAAAAAGGTATGTTGCTGTAACATATAACGAACGATAATTTACCCATATTTGGACAAATACAGTTTACATTGTCTATTGCAAGAAGTTGAACGATATATTCTTTCTTTTAATTATGTTTCATACACTTGGTTATGATGAACATCTTTGTAGCTATCAAGTTCATAACAAAACTGAATTGGAAATTTATTTGTTATGATGATCTTATTCGTGCCTACTTGTTGTAGAACTTATTGTAGGAGCCAGAAGTACATCTATATATATATATATATATATATATTATTTTTCGCTATACATTATAATTTTTTCAAATTAATTAATACAACCAGTAAGAATAAAGTACAGTAAGAATAAATAATAATCCTCTTGAGGCCATATATAAGAATAAAATTCTCTAAAATTTAGATGATTTCGCTTGTTCTGAAATTACTTTCTTTGAGTGTTCAGTTTGCAAATGGATACACCGCCGAAGCGCGCAGGCATCCAAGTATATTCAGCAGACAAAAGGCCGGAAACATCGACCGCGTTCTGCGACAAAATTGACAGATACAAATCCGCGTCAGCTAATCAGAATGTTACGCGCGTGGGGGTGCGTCTTGCGTAAAGTATCGGCCGCTTTAAAATTCACGTCGACTTTTCATCACGACCGACTGTGCGCGCTCGTCGAGCAACGAACGAAGACTTCGGCGCGCTATCGTCCGAATTGGCTCTTTAATCACTGTCGGTGTTCTCCTTTTATCCTTACCGTCTCCGCGGAGAAGCGTCGCCCGGACGACGGGATATTTGTCGCGGAGAATTAATATCTCCGCGAAGTTCCGGCGCGCTCGTCCCCGGGAAAAATCGAGCTTGATACACGCCGCGGCGGAGCAAACAGTCATATTAATGAGGTCGGGAAGTCTGCTAATTGGATGACGCCGTAACTCTTCGTAACGGCGCGGCCGAGAACACGAGATAAGAGAGCGAGCGACGGAGGGAGACGGAGCGCGCCTGGGGCGAGAGCAAATTAAAAAATCACGCGGGTGTAAATGCGCGGGAGCGGCGTCGTTATCGGCGGCACGATGCAGCGCGGATAAGCAGTCAACAACCGAGACGTAATTTGCCAGGGCAAAAGTGTCGCTAATGTCGCAAAGAGAAGGACGCGAGACAAACGGCGAGGTCCGCGATAAATCTCGCCCTGTCACAGCGCGGACTCCCTTTGAACTCCGCACTTTGAAGGGCGCACGACGAGCGCGCCGTGTATATCCATCATCGCGCGAGTCGATGTATCGCGCGACGACGGTTCATTGACTGGAAACAATCGAGCGACGATACACGCGATAGATGCGTCATAAGCGGCAGCTGTCAAACCGGTAGGATTACGAACGACGCGAGATGAATCGTGCCGGGCGGGAGCGCGCGCGCGCGCGCGCCAGACTAATCGCAATGTTTATCACTTGGTACATCGCGACGTTGCGTCGCGCGCGCGCGCGCGATGCACCGCGGTGGTCACGGAGAACTGCGTCCGAGGAAATTAATTTAATTACTTGAGAGTTACGGTCGAGGTTGCAAGCTCGATCTGCAAGTTCGTTGATGGAGTCGCTGCTCAATAACGCGCGCGCACGCGCGCGGGCGTATGACGAACGGGGAACGTGCGGTCGAAATCTCCGCTGGCGATAACCTCGTCCGTACGTGTCAGCGGGACGAACGATCGATCACGTCTGATCGAATAAAGTCAAGCATGCCATAAACTGACAGCGCGCGTGCCACGGACTTGATTACGCAATTAAAGTCGCGCGAAACGAGCCGCGGCTGGTCGAGAGAAATTTCACGCAGTCCCGCGCTCGTTCAAAGGACGCGCCATCGAAAAGCGGAGTGAGAAAGAAATGGTTCTTTTTCTGTTTCTTTTTCTCTTATATCGACGGATAATCTGTCGGCGCTTCCGAAATCACGTTGCCTTTCTCTCGTGTGCGGATTTTCATGTGTTATGGGATTTCTGTCTGTTTCGCGACCGTCTCGCGGAATAATCCGGCTCTCACTGACCGCTGACGACACGCGCGCGGCCGACAGTTTGCAGCTTCGGTTGTTAACCTCGATTATTAACCTTTAACGGTTCAGCCTTTGCTCGTGAAGTTCGACGTCGAGATCTCGCGCTAAGCGATGGCCAAGTTGCGGCAGCTGCGCGGCCGGAAAACGAAGAAAAGCGCTCTCGTTCGGCTGTAAATCCCGCGGCCGTGATCGCCGCATAATAGAGAGGACGACAATCGCAGCTGACTAAGTTGGAAGACCGCGATCGCGAGGAGCGAGAGAAAGTGCAAAGGAGCGAAACGCGCTCAGAGGAATATATCGACTCTAGGCTATCTAGGAATTTAGTTTCGCGGGAAATTCGATAATCTGAGACTTGCATGCGCGTGTTCGCGCCGTTTATCGGACTTCTCGACGTAATACGCAAACGTTCGTTAGAAGGGAAGATGTATGACGCTCCGAACAAAAGACGCAAGTCCTGTATTTCCTCGAGAAACGAATTAGAAATCGATTAGAGAGACTCATCGCTCAACACATTCGTTGATCTGACAATGATAAATGTACACAGGTGAAAATTCAGATTCTCGTTTTCGCGCACGCGCGAAACGCGCGTGACGACAGCGGAAAGCACAGAGCAATTAATCCGACGAATTAATCTCAACATCGACCATTTCAATTGTGTGTCCTCGATTAATTTTAATTTAATTATTCGAACGCGGGCGCACGCGGGCGCCCGTGACACACGGCCGTCGGTCGGGGAAATCAGCGAGAACAACGAAGGGCAGATGGCGATAGCCCGCCCGCGTTACTTTGCTTGAAAGAGCAATCGCAGAGGAGAACGCTGCTGAAAACGGGGCTGACATCTATTGTTTTGCCTGACGACAGTATATCTGTTGAATATTCCTCGGAATGTGCATATGACGACTTTGCGATTTGCGAATGCCGGATTTACATACGAACATGGGCGAACGAGAGCCGTGTTGTCGCGCCTGTGTTTGATTAATAAAATGGCTCCGCCGCAGCTTTGGGATTTTCGGTCCAAGTTATATAAATCCACGCGCGTCTCGATCCTGTTTGTTTATTCTCCGCCACCGCGCGCGCGCGCGAGAAAAATCATTCCAGACAAAATAAAGTAAAAAACAACGAAAGTGGAGCGCGTTGCTGCTTCACCGACCGGCAACGCGCGATAATAATTTTTCAAGGCAACACTCGAGGAGCTTGTAGGAAAATAATGAAACGTACGAGATGAAATCCGCACGGAAAAAAAGTCACGTACGAAATACACCCGGCATTTTCTGGAAATACGTAGGCCGAGCTGAGCAGAAATGTATTTGAGCCGGATTATAATGACGAGAGACGGAGAAACTTTGGCGCATTGCTGCGATGGAACTGACGGTACCACGCGTAATAAATGCGACATCAAGCACAAGAGAAGAAAAAAGGAGGTCGCGCGAGCGCAACATATGACGCCGCCGAGGAAATGAAGGAGCCGGAGTAACCTTCGCAAAGCAGTTCCTGGCTCGCCAGTATGTTACATCACGGCGACATGCCGAACACAGGGGCTAATATAAGCGGGACTGAGCAAGCAACAAGCCCGATACCCTCAATATGCACGCTCCGGGTTGTTTACATTTGTTTATTCGCGAGAGACTAACGGGGGAGACACATTGCTTCCATGTAGTTTCTCTGATCCTGCGCGTGTTCATCCTGTAAGACGAAGTACAACATCGTCGCCGCGGTCTTGAAATTCCTACCCGACAAATCCCACCACGATGCCTCTCTTCGTCTCATCGTGTTACAAGAATTTGCCGTCTCTCTCTCTCTCTCTCTCTCTCTCTCTCTCTCTCTCTCTCTCTCTCTCCCGTGCGTGTGAGACGGAATACGGGCGCGTAAAAAAAATTTCGGCAACTTGATCGTTAATTGGTGAATGATTAATGGAGAATTATGCGGGAATATTTCTCTTTTTGCAGAATGCCGACGGACGGGGGTCCAGGAGGACTCGCGGTAGTGGCAGGGGATGTCCTTGCTCTGCGAGGCACAGGACTCGCCGCTGCAGAAACCTGGGCTCTCCTCTGCCAGGCTGCCCAGGCCCTCCAGGACCTTTTCCTTTCAAGTAAGTTGCAACCTATGATTTCATTGCGTATTTTGGCGTATTATTATATAATAATTCCTCGATATTCGCAATAATTGAAAAATTCAAATTCAATCAAGTAATTTGGTAATTTTGAAGTGCGAAGGGAAAAATTGCTACAGCGAAAGAGAACAATGTTGCTCTAATTAAGTCGCTTTGCCGACGCGTTTAATATAAAATTGAATAAATATAGTTTTATCTCACGTAACTAATTTCAAAATTTTCAATGAAGGAAAAAGGAAAAAGGAAGAAAAAAGGTTCTTTTCAATTTATAAATTTAAATATGAAAACTGAAATAATATTAATAAATTTTGTATACATCATTAATTGCTGTTAGGTAATGTATGTGTAACGACAAATGTTAAATTTATCTGTCGTGAAAAAAAAACTCCGGTACCGGGAATCGAACCCGAGCCTCCTGGGTGAAAGCCAGGTATCCTAGCCACTAGACCATACCGGACTGCACGGTTAGCTGGTTAAACTGTTCGTAGCTCACCAGCACCACGGTAATTCGACCTGTATTCACAATGAATACACATGCGCATGACATATAATTCATTGTATAATTTTATGTTATAACATTAATTGTCGCGTCTAAAGTACACATAAAATATGTATATCTTGTTAAAATTAAAAATATTTAATTAAGTGCAGAAGCTGTATGTAATGTATTGTAATTAAAGTCAAAATTACCGAACGGATCTAGTGGCTATAATTACTTAACGATAATGATAATTATTCACGAGTTTACAATTCATCTTCTCGTGCAAAGTCTTCAAACAATAGAAAATAAATGGCTATATCGGTAACTATACGAGTTATTGTTGACATGTTTAACAATATTGATTATTGTTGATGAATATTTAATAACGACGTATATCGGGCGAGTGTAAACATTTTGGTGAATTTCGTGATAGAAAAATGAAAAAAGTAATTTTATTAAAAACGATTTATTAACGATTTTTTACCTGGCAAAAGTTGCTGGCGGTGATGAAAATCAATGGCGATTAATTGATAAAATGTTATAAAATTGTTTTTAATAAAATCATTCAGTCTACTCTTCTACCGGGAAATCCATCAAAACTTTTGCACTCACGCAATATATTGCAAAGCAACAACAACAACAACAAATATAAATCGACGCGTATTTCGCTACTACTCGTGTCTCTTTTATACCAGGAAATATCTACCATGCGGGACTTTTCCGCGGTTCTTTTACTCTCATGAACTCTTTACTTTCACGGACATAAAGCACCCGAAAGATGATCCGTCCGCAAATCCCGGAGACTTTTCAGAAAATACTGGTCGAGTTCGCTGCGAGCCTCCACTATATGTGGCCGAGCTTAACATGTTTCGAACACCGATACCATATGAAATCGAAACTTTATCGCGACTACTATCAGTTCACAATTGAGAAAAAAGATCAGTGAGGGAAGCAAAATAAATAAGAAAGCAACACACGCGATAGACTGAGATTTCAATGATTGATAATGAACAGATAGAACCTTCCATTGGTGGATCTGTTGTACCGAAATTTCACATTTAATTAAATTCGTTGTAATAGAAGTTTCACAACCACCGTCAATACCAATTCAGTCAATGCAAAGTTCTATGGCGAATTTGAACTTTATCATTACATATTCAATAACCTGAAAATCGTCTGAAAATTACTATTACTACTATTATTATTATTATTATTAAATCCAAATCGCGTGGACGCGTCTCAAACTTTTATTACATTATTACTTTTGATTATCCGCGCGATGTGTGTATATTAAAATATACTTTTCTAATGTCACATATCTATGTTTCTCTATTGACGATACCGAAAGAAATATCGCCTTCAGCATTTTTCATCTTCGCGATATGGATAAACACTCCATGCGGAGAAAATCCACGTGCTTCGGGAAAAGCCGGAAATATCGCGCGCGTAACGTTTCCGCCAAATAGATTGACACCCTCTTGAATATTTTCCGTCAACGTCACCGAAGATATTAGGATAATCCACGCTCGATTACATCAATCTCCTCTCGCATCGTTACTTGTCGCTTTTGAGGGGCGTTTCAGAGGACGGAGGAAGACAATATCATAGTCCTTCGAGATAGTCCTCGCTTACGATGTGCCACCTTTTACACCCGCTTCGTTTCATGCATCGACGGGCGTCGGCGCGTGGAAAAAAAAATGCCTTCCGCGCGACGAGGATGGCGATAAAAATCGCCTCATCTAGCAGCCCTCCCCGGCGCCGAAAATCCTCGGCGACCGAGTTACGTGATTGATGATGCATCGAAGAGAGTTAGGCGGCAGCCTCTTTTTCTTTTCATCGAAAGAGGAAAATCGCGGGGAAAAAAGGAGGCTTTCGGCGGCCCAATTGAATTATCCCTTCTTCATCGTTACTTGCACCGCAAGTTTTATCCTCCGTGGCCTTTGTGATGATTTATAACGTAAGGTAATGAGGGAGCACGTCGATATAGCGCGTAATTCTCCGGGAACTTTTCCGCGATCACACGCCGGTGGATGTCGCTCTTCGCGATACGGAGCGCACGTGACACGCGCTTCACCTCCGCAAGGATATCAAGGACGGGATCATCGAGCATGCGATGCATACCTTCGTGCGCAGATTCATCTCAACGTTTAAGTACACCGGCGGCTCGGGGGAGAACTGCATAGGGGAATCCCGAAGTGGAATATTACGGGCGATGCATTCCAAAGCGAGTTCTCGATAGCACTAAATCTCTGGACAAAGGCTCAAGCCGGGCGCCGTTCGATCGCGCGATCGCCGCTCGGTTACGAAGCTCGCTACGGAGAGAATCAAACGTCAGGCGAGAGGCGTTAAATATTCAATAATCGCAAGCCGTCGAGGGATGTGGCTATCAAAGCGACACTAATTGCCTAATCGACGATGCCGCCGTAATAATATCACCGCATCACCGAGCAAAGCCCTACACCGGCGGCCAACTTGTCCGTGCAGCTTGCTTGTTCAATCTTCGATTTTGTCCCCCCTCGGTTAAGTTACTTCTTTTATCGACGCGGCTACCGGTAGCTGCACATTAACAGAGGACGGAGTCCTCTTCTCTCGGCGCCCGCGGCTGTCCGAGAAATATGTCGATATCGAGTTCGTCTTGGAGTCCCCGTCGCAATCTGCAAAGTACAACTCACTCAAGAAGTAGCGCATCTCTTTCGCGGGACTCTCGAAAATTTGCTTCACATCTTAAGAGGTGTCCCCCCTGCAGTAGGCTTTAAGGGACTTGCGATAAGTGCATTGTAGAAAAAGTTATTTGTTAATTTGTATTTTTACTTTAACATTTTTTTTCTACCGAACGAAAGGAGATATCCAGTTTCTCCAAACGGCACAACGCGGTATAAATTGGTAGAAATTCACAAACAAAAATTGGGTTCATTCGGACAAAAGTGGGAGGCTGGCAAATTTTCGTTTTCATTTTGTTTCTCAAATGTTATTGAAGTTATCGGTCTCGCGTTTGCGGCACAATGAAGATAAACTCCAAAAATTCGAAAAGTGCGGGGCTACGAAAAATTGAGTTTTTCTTAATTTTCTTGGGTACGCTTGGAGTTACAGAGTTGCGGATTGCGGTACAATACGCGGGCACAAATGCGTAGCACAATGCAGCACAATTCGAAAAAATAAGCAAAATTCGAAAAGTGCGGGGCCAACTTCACACACGTGAATCACGCGGGTAACGTTTCTCAAACATCTCGAGAACGAGTCACATCAAAGCCTGGTGCTCTCAACGGTATCACAGTTCACCTTTGCTTTATCGCCGAAGCATCGAGATCTCGACCTCACGACCAACGACGTCTGATCAAAGGAGGAGAGGAAAAAGAGAAAAAAAGAGAAAATCTCTCGGAGAATAAATTACACGGATCAGCGCGAGTTAACCGCGAGTCAGCGCGGTACTGTTTACTGGGCTGTAAAGGGGGAGGGGGGGAGGGAGGGGAATACGCTCCCTACCTTACTCACTCTGCTATTAAAAAAGTACGTTCCCGCTGTCGTCGATGCAGCGTCTATCGATAGCCAGCTTACACGGACGCTGAAGTACGCTTACGCGCGCTAAAGCGAAGTAGCGACCGACTTGCGTCGATATCGAAATATCGGCAGGGTTAGGTCTCTCTCCTCTCTTTCCCGGAGGACGCGCGAGATCAAGGGCGTGAAGCCCGCGCTCTCGGCGTTGCGCGCCGCTTGCTCGCCTCATTCTTGATGACTCGCATACGCGCGGCTTAACAGGCGTGTTTACAATGTCGGCAATTCGGATTGCCCGGTGCCCCTTGAGATTGTCGTGAGGTATCCTGCATGCGATCGCGATGTCGGCGTGCGCATAGCATGACTCACGAGCGTCGTATAATAAGCGATGCCTCGCCGGCACCGCAGGAGCCCAGAGCCCAAATGCCAAGGATTCGTCCTTGCGTACGCCGCGTGAGAATGGCCGGCAGCTGAAACTTCGTTTCGTACGTCGCGTTGGATTTTATGAAAGCATGCCGACAGGCGTATCTCTCCCTCCCTCCCTCTCTCTCTCTCTCTCTCTCTCTCTCTCTCTCTCTCTCTCTCTCTCTCTGCACCTAGCTGGGCGGAGAGGCCCACATTTCTAACGCGACAGCGTCTAATGATGACATGCGGCGAATCGTGCGAAAAAAATGCGAAAAAAATGCGAAAAATTCTATAGATTATTATTCGTGTAATTATCGGTAAACCGTTAGCTTCGTTAAAACATCGCGCGCATTAGGAACATTACCGAGACGTTTCATCCGCGCCGCAAGAAATCGCGCGCGTGCGCGAGTGTGTGATGAATGGGTCGCGCACCCTCGCGAAATGAGACCCTCCGCTTTTGCTCCCTCGTGTCGAGGCTGTCACAGAAGCTCGGAATTATCGCGCAAATCCGCGCAGCCGTGAAAATTTCAAACGCGAGAGATGTGTGAGTGCGTGTATGTGTCGCTCGCGCGGCGAGAATCGTTCTCGTCGTATAATAGCC